GGTGACGGGTCACACAGAGCGGGAGGGGACGGGGCGGGGGGGTCCCGGGTGGAGGGAGGGGGGGAAACGGGACCGTCCCGGGGGTCTGGGGGCTGTGGGGACACGGGAGGGGGGGTTTATCTGTACTGGTAACTCATGCTGTGCTCGTTTCTGCCGTAGCCGCCTTGCGACGCCTGGTAGGAGCTGGGGGGGCCGCTGTAGTTCTGGGAGCCGGGGGAGTTGTAGTTGGACTGGGAGGAGTATCCGCCTGTGGAGAGGGAGAGGGAGAGCGGGACGGGGAGGAGAGAAGGGGGGGTGGTTACGGTCACGGCGCCGCGCGGGATTCCGGCGGCGCTCCCGCCGGGACGGGAGCTGGCCAAGGCCACGGAGCCCCCCGGGGAGGGGAGGGGGTGTCAATACTGACCTTGCTTACCTTGGTACGAGGAGCCCCCGCCCCCCGAGCCCCCGTAGCCCCCGTGGGAGCCCGAGTTGTAGGAGCCGCCGCCCGAGTAGTTGTTGCCGCCGCGGCCGCTGTTGCCGCTGTAACCTGGGGAGGGGGCGGGAGAGGGGGCACGGTGAGCACGGGCAGGGACCCCCAGCACTCCCCAGCCCTGCTGCCCACCACACCCAACTGCTCTGACCAACCCAAGGGCACTTTAAACCCCCCTGAGACCCCAAAATTCCGGGAGGATTTGGGTGCAAAGGGACCTTCATCCATCGTCTGCCCAGGCAGGGACCTCTTCCCCCAGCCCAGGGTGCTCCAAGACCTGGATGATCCCCTGGGAATGTGCCCAGGGCCTGGGCAGCCACCCCCTCTGCCCCTTCTCCTCATCCATCCATCCATCCGCCCACCCATCCATCCACTCATCCACTCATCCATTCACCCATCCATCCCTCCATTCACTCATCCACCCATCCCTCCATTCATTCCTCCATCCATCCACCCATCCATCCATCCATCCCTCCATCCATCCCGCCATCCATCCACCCATCCCTCCATCCATCCATCCACCCATCCATCCCTCCATTCATCCATCCCTCGATCCATCCATCCACCCACCCATCCATCCATCCCTCCCTCCATCCATACCTCCACCCATCCATCCCTCCATCCATCCATCCATCCCTCCATCCCTCCCTCCATCCATCCCTCCCTCCATCCATCCACCCACTCCTCCCTGCCTCCCTCCCTCCGTCCCACCGCCCCGGGCCGCACTCACTGTATTTGCTCTCGTAGTTGTAGTCGGAGCCGCCGCTGGGCGAGTTGTAGGAGTTGGAGTAGGAGTAGCCGCCGCCGCCGCCGCCCTGGCCGTGGCCGTAGCCCTTCTGCTTGCCCTGCCCGGGGCCGTAGCCGCCGTACTGGCCCTGCCCGTAGGGCTGCTGGCCCTGGTGGGCCGAGTACCCGGAGCCGTAGGAGGCCTTCTGGCCCCCGCCGTGCTGCTGCTTCTTGCCGCCGTGCTTGGGCGGCGCCGGCGCCGTGTACCCGTCGCCGGACTGGTAGTAGGAGCCGTAGCCCGAGGAGCCGCCGCCGCCCCCCGAGTTGGAGTGGCCGCCGTTGCTGTAGAACTGGCCTGGACGGAGAGAGGAGTGTCAGGGGCCGGAGCACTGATCCCGATCCCACTGCCGCTCCCGATCCTGATCCCACTGCCACTCCCAATCCCACTGCCACTCCCGATCCCACTGCCGCTCCCGATCCCGATCCACTGACACTCCCGCTCCCGATCCCACTGCCGCTCCCGATCCCGATGCCGCTCCTGATCCTGATCCCGATGCCGCTCCCGATCCTGATCCCACTGCCACTCCCAATCCCACTGCCACTCCCGATCCCACTGCTGCTCCTGATCCCGATCCACTGACACTCCCGATCCTGATCCCACTGCTGCTCCTGATCCCGATCCCACTGCCGCTCCTGATCCCACTGCCGCTCCCGATCTCGATCCACTGACACTCCCGATCCTGATCCCACTGCCGCTCCTGATCCCAACCCACTGCCACTCCTGATCCCGATCCCACTGCCGCTCCTGATCCCGATCCACTGACACTCCCGATCCCGATCCCACTGCCGCTCCTGATCCCGATCCACTGACACTCCCGATCCCGATCCCACTGCCGCTCC